CTGTTAGATCACACCCTATCCCATGATCCTATTCTATGGCATAATACACCTGAAATTGCATTTTTACCTTCGCTTTTCCACAGGAGACTTCTCCGTTATCCTTTAAAGATTGCCTTTGGTTCAATGCTACCGAAATAAAACCTGAACCTGATTTAGCTTCATTCCAAAGTGTGACTTCTTTTGTTTGAAAGTGACACCTCCAGTAAGTAAAAGATTAATCACGATAAATATAACATTATGATGCATTTTAAAGGAGAACTTGTTTCCTTGGAAATTAGAAGACACAGCCTTTTATTGACTGGATGATCAAGATTTTAAAGATATCAAACGATAAACTTCAAGCTGTATTTTGGCAAAGTAGATAAACGCTGAACCATTTCAGAGTGTGGAACTCTCAGTTTGTTTGCAGATAAACAGATGGCAATTTTACAAGTCCACATAAATCCCTTTGATTGAAGAAAGAGATGGCATTAAAGAAGCCAAACTATGACGCTTTTGGAAGAGCATTCTCATTTCAAAGGCAAATAGAGGACTTCTGATTTTAACATTCACATTTAAAGAGAACATCATCTTCTAATGAATATTATAGCAAAATCAAATATCATACATAATGAGATATATACAGTACGCAAGTGACACGTTAAGACATCAAAAGCAGCAGGGATTCGGACGTTCTTCATGGATGGATGGATGGATTTTTGTTATATGTACACTTCTTGGTTTCTAATCAAGCCTGTCAATGCTACAAAATTTCAACATGTCTTCATGACCAGATGTTTGTAGGTCATTTGTGAACCATGTTGAGGAATTTGGAAATTCTGGGATGCTATCGGTTACTTTAACTAAATGAATTGTTTCTTTAAATTCCCTCTATAGTCAAATGTGTTTTTCTTAAATTATTACTTAACTTAGATTTTTGAGCTTCACTGACTGCAGAATGACATATGTGCAGAGTTCGACACTAATAGGCTGTTTTCACATTCATCTGATGATGAGAGGGAAGCTTCTCTGTCTTCAACTGAGCTTATGATGTCCATCCATGACACAACTAGATGGCCAATCATGGTCCACAATGCAACAGTTGAAACTTGAAACCTCCAGTGCAGATTAACTGAGAATGGACTTCTCAGTTAATGGACTACTAAACATCTTGTGTCTAGTTAAAAAAAGCATATGCATAGATTCTGTATCTTAATGACAAAGGAGCAGATGTAACTGAGCAATATCAGGCACAAAATATTATCAAAGCACAATATTTATATATGTTTATGGAGACAGTCTACCCCCAAATCCAAAGTACATATCTTGCCTCTCATCTGTAGTGCTATGGATCTAGATTGTTTCGCTGAAAGTTGCCAAGTGTTGGAGATATCGGCTGTAGAGAAGAAATATAATGGAACAAAACAGCACTTGGCTTGTGGTGCTCAAAGTGGAAAAAAAAATCAATTTGAAAAACTCAACAGCAATGTCTCTTTCCAGAAATCGTGACCCTATTACCCAAAATAATCTGCTTTCTACTGAACTACAGCCACTAACCTGCACAGAAGGAAGTGTGCATCTACTCATAGACCAGAGGCTCATGCATTTGACAGCCCAAGATGTAAACATTAATGGCGTCCTCCTCTGCTGAGCTGTAACGTTAGTTAGCTCAGTAGATGCACACTTCCTTCTGCATGGTGATACAGTTGGCAGGTGTAGTTCAGCAGACTCACACATAAATGATCTAGATGGATAAACAACACTACAAGTAAGATGACAATAAGTATTTTTGGTTTTGGGGTAAACTGTCTCTTTAAGACATGTCTGAAGAATAACTGACAAACCATTAATCCCTATCAAATGATGATCTTTACTTGTGCAAATTCTGGGGAAATTGTGAGACATAAAAAAACCTTGTGCTTAACCTCATTTTTTGTCAAATGTTGAGATAAGTGCAGCAGAAAATTGTAAAATGCAACACTTGCAAGAAAGCCAGCACATGGTAACAGTCATACATCTGTCAAATTGAGATTTTGGTTCAAGCTGGTGTTCTAATATTTTTTCTATCTCGAGCGCACAAGGAAGAAATAATATCATCTTTCCCATTTTTATGTAAATGACTACTTGACTGCAGAGAAGTCCCTGTAGGATAATTATGAGGAAATTACATTATATGACCATTTTATTGTTATATTACTAGTGAAAAGCAAAGTTTTAGATTGACTATTACCACAATTACACCACAGATGATGTACCTTTTACACTTTGACTTTTACTAATTCTCAGAAATTGATTTAATCGCTCTGCAGTTTCAGCGGTGAGGGTGAAGGTATATGCTGGTGAATACATATACCATTATAGGAGCTGAATGGAAGGATGAACTCAAGAGCAGAGGAGACGAGGAGGGCAGAGAGGTGATTTTTTTTATCTAAATACATGTTGGAGACATACAGTAGTTGACGCCATGGTGATGACTTGCACAGACTGGTCTGATACTCTAGCCTCTCCTTACAAACCACACTCTCAGAGGGTGGTTCGGAAAGGAAAAGAACAAAATGAGGCCAAACGTCATCACCAGAGGTGAAGGCGCTGATTGGATTCTGCAAACAAACGCGCACCTGCAGTCAGAGCTACACAACCCTGTCAAACGCTTCAGCTGCTCTCAGAAAACCTTTTTTTTCTTCAAGTATCACAGCAAGGCCTTATCTTATCCACTTCAAACAGAGATGCCTCTTGTGATGAATCTCTAATGTGAGAGAACTGGAAAACTATTATTTGGACTTGGCAGTTTTCTTTGGCTGGCCAATCGTCCCACGGTTTCTGCTAGGGGCCCTCGCTCTAGTTTTCCATCTCCATAAATTGTCCCCATCGCTCCCTGTTTCCCCTGCGATGAGCGGAATAGACCTCTCGTTAGCAAAACTCATGCATCCAACACCTTACAAAGAGAGAGGGCCGGGGACAATTTGTACTGCATGTGGCCTCGCTCACTGCCTGCTCTGTATTACTATGGTTACTGGTTATTATTTTTAAAGAGCGTGTTTTCTGGCCAGAAAATAAAATAGCATCAAGCCTTTAACTGCCAGTTATACTTGTTCATTTATAGATTTCAATTAGTGCAGTATGTATTTATGGTTGTTGTGTAAGCAAGAGTTAAATTGTTAATTGAAATAATTAACTGTGCTTTTTAAATACATGCTTATAGACACAACAGTTGAGCAGATTTTACACAAAATGTACAAATCATCTCTGTGTGTTGTTGAATGGATGAATCCTATCTGATGTGTTAGCTGATGTGACATTGGGAGCTATTGTCTCTGATATGCTGTCATTGAGCTGCTGCCGGTGGTGGTGCTGGGTGGAGGTTGCCGTCCATGCTGAGCAGCAAGAAAACAAGCAGTCTGCTTGGCGAGGGGCCATGAAATGCACAGTTAGTCCTGGGTCAATTGCATTAGGGTTTCTCAAAGGCAAAAAGGCAATCAGTGCACGGCTTTGTGCTTCTGTACAGTGGCTATTTCACTGAACAATTTAAAAACAAGAGGTAGTTTATTCTACTGTTGATGTGGACGAGAGCAAAGACTAATGAGCGTAACCTGTAAGGAGCAGGTTTTACAAAGAGAAAATCTTTATCCGAGGGTCACCCTGGGGTCACACTAATCACTTATAGTGGGCTTTGACCTTTGACCTTTCGTCTGTTTACCATCATAAGCTCATGGTGGCGACTGAGTGTTATTCTGGCGCCCTGATTTGACTAAAAACACTCTGATAAAACAGTCACGTACAGTAAATGACTCCAGTGTTGGAAGGAGCACTTGGTTCCCAGTGTATAGAGGGTACCAGGCTACCCTCTAGTGGCACAGGGAAGCGATGAACCGTGTCACAAAATAAGTTGTTGTCTGCCTCCAACGGATAAAAGGGTAAACGGGATACCAAAAGTGATGGGAGGAAAAGTCCCTTTGTGGCGTAAGACGACGCGGAGGAAGCCGTGCGGGGAATTCCAGTGCGTTAACGGGGAGATGTTTACTTTATATGCAAATCAGCCTCATCGACACCAGAGGTCTTATTTTAAGGCCCGAGCTCCGTTTTTTTTTTTCTTTTTTTTTTTGTACTGACTTTTCAAGAAAGAAAGCTTTGATGTTGGCAGGAAGGATCGATGCCAGGGAGAGAGAGAGAGAGAGAGAGAGCAGGAGGGAGGAGGGAGAGGATGCAGAATGAAAATGTACTTCTGGGGGTGTGTGGGTGAGGGGGAGCTGGAGAGGCTGCCGTCATCATAGCTCCACTGTTTTAAGCTAACGATTTATGAATCCTCTGAAAGCACAGCGTCCTGCTGCACGTCCAAATCTTCAGGGGAGAGGGGGGAGAGACAAAAAAAAACGCCACAAGTGACGTTTTTTTCCCAACACCCCCTCCTCCAGATCTCCCCCAGCACATAATAAAGTTTGTCGGGTCGCATCGGTCTGAGGATGCGGGCTGAAATGTAACTGCTTGACCTTACTGCACCATTTATTTCTGTTTCATTTAGCACAATCTGTCGGAGCAGTTGCCGTACACGAGGACGGGGAATCGAGTGAATGGGTAATCTGAGGTTCTCCGCAACATCCTTTCTGTCATTTGGCCGTGTAGGCCTGCGGAGCCGCTGCGGAGGAGCAACTTTATGAGGACACACTAACAAAAAAAAAAAAAAAAAAAAAAAATCATCCATCAACCGAGGCTCCACATCAAGTAGTTTGTTGCCACGTCTGAGAAACGTTGCAAAGGATTTGCCTTATATGTGCAGGGGAGACAGAATAAGCGCATTACGCTCCGTATAAAACCCGATTATTAGGTGGTATTATCATTAAAGGCCACTTATAAGACTGATAGAAGTGCAGAAAGTCTGGAAATAAGACATAATCAGCCAACAAGTCAGATCAGTGCGAGGAAAGCAACAGACAGCCTGAAAGCACAGACGCCTCACTGAGGATATGATCAATTAATGATTCAAAAAAAAAAAAAAACGCACGGCATAATCCGCATCTACTTACATAGAGGTGATGTTTTTGAATAACTCTGCTATGTCAACACTGGTCCCATTGCTCCCAGTATCTTGCAGGGCGAGTAAAGGGAAAAACCTGCCGTTGTCGGACTTATTGCAATAGATCTCTGTTTGAGAGCAGCTGCAGGTCGGCGGGCAGTCCAGCATGGAGCTCAGATAGTCCTGGAAAACACTCATCAGAAACAAAACCCTCCACCAGCAAATCCGGATCGAATGAAACCATAGATCCATGTCTCCGGGTAAAGAGGGGGGAGAAGATGTCCCGATGTCCTCTGGGTTAGAACAGAACAGGAGAGAGGAGAGGAGGAGAGTGGGAGGAAGGAAGGAAGGAAGGAGGAGGATGGTGGTGGTGGTGGTGCGTCTGTACAGAGGATGCTCTATGTGAGCGTTCCTGCCGTGGATGGATGCTGTAGTGTCCTTGCGCGTCAGAGATTGGGTGAAAAGGAGAGAGGAGGGAGGGGGAGGGGGGGAGACGAAACAAAAAAAAAAACGGAAATCAAAAATAAGAACGCGAAATACGGTGAGGCTCCAGTCGTCTTTTTAGCCTAAGATGCATGGTGTTTCCCCGGAATGCCGTGCTGCTGATGCCGTCGTCTCTCTCCAAGCAGGACCAGGACGACTGGCTGGAGAGCAAAGAGACACAAAATGAGAAGTTGGAGCATCAAGTCCCTCCTACTGGCTACAGTCATACTGACACCTGCAGAAACTGCATGCAATCAACAGTGATCACAAGTCCACTTTCATACAGGGACTGCTGTACTGCATCAGCATGACTGTAGCCTATTATGTGATCAAAATACAAAGCATCACATAAACATATAAATAAAGAATGATAGGGTCATTAAACTGATGATTTAGTGAATCCAAAATAACCATATGTACTTAAAATGATCTTATAGAACAATATAATAATAATTTTGGAAATATAAAAATAATTTAGAATAATGTCACAAAATACGTAATGGAAAAAAAATGAAAAACAGAAAAAGACCTTTAATGTCAAAGTAAAAAGAGATCTACACAGAATGATCTACAATAATCACAACTATAAAGCACACATAATAAATTAATTACAAATACATGTTGGCATACTTAAGTAGGACACACCTTTATAACCACTGACTTGTAGATGGCACATACCTCTCCAGACATGCATTTTATATCCGTAATTCATTTAGATCACTTTATTTATTTATATACTCATTTATTTATAGAGTTACAGGGACGGTGAACATAAACAGACATTTCCATAAATGTGCCAGTTTAGCCCTCTTAGCTCATTTTTTAACCGCAGTCCCCGCGCAGGTGTAGTGACAGCTACAAAATACACATGAAATATATTCACACAGGCACAGCAATACAGTATGTAGCAGAGCATATTTCATAAAAAACACATGAAATACTTGAAAACAAAGACAGCAATACATAAAACATAAAACAAAGAGCGCCTCAGGTTATTTGAATAAGTCATAGAGTGTGGTTGCACACTTGATTGTCTTTTAACCATGATTCTAAATGAATTTTAAATAAAGGATATGTGTCACAGTCTCTGGTGAGTGCTGGCAAATGTGAGAGCTTCCTGTCCAAAGGCAGTCCACCTCATAGGTATTATACAATCCCTTCCTGCCACAGATCTGGTGTATCTATCATCAGTGGTTTGCTGCTTTGGAGCTAAGCCATATAGACATGTAGGTATCTATTTTCAAGGTGACCTTAAAGGGTCTTTATCTGTTACTAAGAAACATTGTTTACATTCACTGGTTAAAAAGAAGAAGGAGATGAGTTGTTGGTGGCTTAGTGGGTAGAGCAGGCACCCCATGTACAAGGCTGTTGCCGCAGCGGCCCAGGTTCGACCCCAGCCTGTGGCCCTTTGCTGCATGTCACTCCCTCTCTCTCTCTCCCCATTTCAGACTTGTCTGTCCTATCCATTAAAGGCTAAAAATGCTCAAAAAATACCTTTAAAAAAAAAAAAGAAGAAGAAGAAGATATACTTTATTAATAGCTGAGGGGCAATTCAGTTTTTCCATTCTGTTGTCACATACACACAGGCGCGAAATACACACACATGCACAGAGAGGACATGCATTAAATGGAGAGATGTCAGAGCGAGGGGGCTGCCCATGAACAGGCGCACTGAGCAGTTGGGGGTTTGATGCCTTGCTCAAGGGCACCTTGGCAGTGGGACTGAAACCGGTGACCCTTCTGTTTCAAATCCAAGTCAATATGGACTGAACTATTGCCACCCCGAAAGATGTGAAAGACATGAAGTTAGAAGCAGCTCAGCTACAATGGCAACTACAGTATTACTATGTAAATCATCTATATACTGTAGTAAATGGACTGCATTTATATAGCACTGTTTTTACTCCAAGCAACCTGCTTATCAGAGGTATCAAACCCAAATTTAAGGGTTTAGTATTCTGCCCGAGGACACTTTGACACATGCTGCAGGCACCAGGGATCAAACTATTGACCTTTCTACCACTAACAATCGACCACTGCACCTCCTGTGCCACAGCCACCATGTTGCCAAATAAATTGGCAAATAACTGCCACTGTCATGTTATGAAAAGTAACCTTGTGTGCCATGAGCATATTATGACACAATGGGCCCCTGGGCACAGATACACAAAAAGGCGCCACATACTTTTCATGCTCAGGCTGTAAGTTTTCGTTATCAACCTGCCATTAGCTCCTTGCACACATGCTCACTCACTATCTCTAGGTGTCATTGTCTGGGTAGGTCGATTGAGTCATTAGCTTTTTTTCAGCTGATTCACAATCAACCAATAGCACAGCGACGCACCTTCTCTGTCAGCCTATCATCTTACTGCTCTCTATTTTAAATATGTTTCTCTTCTGCTGCAGTTTTTTCCTGCTGCAGTTGTGCACACCCTCACCTCCCCATCACACCTGGTCCTTATGGATTCATCAGCCTAATCTGCCTCAGCAGTCAGCAGTCAGCAGTCTCAGAGTCAGCAGCCACCACCACCAGTGTCTTAGACTCACAAGTCAGTCTTTAGACGCTTTGCTTAACTAAAGACTGATGTCTTTCTCCCTGATTTTGTGTTTAGATGGGTGGATACAATTTCAGAGTTTAAAAAAACTCCCTACGTTGCAGAACCAAGAGTAAATCCGCAGGGCGGTCCTTCGGTGGCTCGCTGAACTCTTGTGCTCGTAAACATAGTCCGACTGCGTTAAAAGTTTTAAACAAAGTCGCTGTAAGTTCTTCATTTCCACAATCTTGTGGACTGAGCACACGTTTGATAAAACGGAGTTAAATCTCTCGGCATCCATTTTCAAGTTCTCTGTGTGTTTGTTTCCTTGCGGATGAGAAAAGGGGAAGAACACATATCCGAGAAGGCGTGTCCTTTTAAAAAATGCAAGAGGCGTTGCTTTGTTGCCGGCCATTTTCGCCGGTGTGTTAAACACACTTTAGAAAGGAGTGTCCCCAGACTATCAGAAGGCGGAGATCTCTGATTGTCTGGTGGTGAGACTACCAGTGTCTGGACTTCATCAGGCAGCTTTATCTTGCTGCCGCTCAGATGCCCCACGATCACAAATTATCTCCCTCTTGGTGTCCAAGTACCAAAGACTTCTGGTAAATCTTAATCAGCACAAATCATCTGTTAATCTGTCCTCTCATATTCTGTATTAAATATTATCTTTACTTAGGCTAATTATTCGGTTTCTCCTGACTGAAGTTGTTTTATGCCTCTTCATCGTCGTTAGGCATCTATTGATGGTTTGTGTTTCTCTGAGGTCATTTTGTGACTTAAATCGGCATTTTGTGTCTCTTTCTTGTTGTTTTGGTAATTTGGTCATTTTTGTCTCTAATTTGGGTGATATTTTGCAGATGAAGGCCAGGGGGGCCCCTGATGCATTGGGCCCCTAGGCACATTAAGTAATCAATCCGTGCCCAGCATGTTACAGCATGATGGCTCTGTTTGGTATTCCCTGAGTTGGATCCTGTGAGGTTCTGACAATGAGGAAATATCAGGTTTAGTGGGTGGCTGGATGAAAATGATTTAATGTTCAAATGTAATTATCCAGGCAGTTTTGAGACTAGATGGCATCAAATCAAATTAATGTTGTTCCTGTATTGTTTATCTGAGAGAGCCCGGCAAAGCACCATTATGGAAAATTTCATTGATGCTTTCATAGTCTAATAAAACACAAATTGTTTTCATTTTTACAGCAGGTCCTCTATTGAATTAATGTACAATGTTTACATCAATTAACTGGTAATGTATAGCACTGTACAGCTGGTTTGCTGGTGCTACTTGCCTCTATGTACTGTAAAATAACTAATTTTTATGTTAAAGGCTAAGTTCACATTTTTTCAAGTTTGTCCTAAAGCAATAGTCAAATGCCGTATGAAAATTGAAGCAGGTTCTTCTTGCTGTAATCATTCCTCCTGTTCATACATGATGAGATCTCCCAGTATCCTTTAATGTCCCAGTCAACCAATCACCTCTCTCCTTTCCTTCTACATCTTCTGTGTGTAACATTACTTATAATGACCAATTTTCTTCTATGAAACTATGCCATTATACAGCCCCCCCCCAAGCATGTCCATTCAACTTCTAATAGAAATAAAGCTAATAACTTCTGAAAGCTAATGAAATATGAAACACTCAAAGAGCAAGAATAGATGGCACTCACTGGAGCAGACACCTGAGTCAGTATCATGCAGTGTCTGTATACCAGTCCAGTTGTGTTCTGCATGTAAATTTTCAGATTTTTTTTGAAGTCTTATTAAAAGGCATTGCTTTATATCAACAGGTGCAAACACTTTCATAACTGCACCATGTTTTTACAGGAAAAACTTTGACAGTAAGAAATTATGCAGAGAATTTGCTGTAGTTACTGTTCGGTGCATGCATGTTTTTGCGTCATTTTAGAATCAACAGGCACTTTTTCTTTTTAAGATTGTGTTAACTTTTTTGGACAATGTGCATTTGCTTCCTCTATAATATATACAAATAAACCTTTCTCAATGGGTGCCTTTACTTAGTGCCCTGTAGCAACTCGAATTCAGCTAGAGAAAGACCGAACACCTGAATGCCAAGGGTCTGATCCCAGACTGCCCTCTCAACCTCCCCAAATGCCCACCAAATCAGCAAACTTCTGTTGCTGCAGCAACATACAGTACACTTCAGGCTGCGCTGATCACCACATCACTGTGGGGGGCCCAGGGAGTGAGGCAGAGTGTTGCTGGGCGCTGGTAACTTGCTAATTCTTGTCTGTTGTCATCTGATAAACACTAAATCCATTACGTTCAGTGGCCCATACAATAATCTCAGTGCCCCTCAATGCTGAAAAAAAATCCCAAGCACTGACAAATGAAATATATACACATGTATATGTCAGTGCATTTATATTTACTTCATTATTTATATATCTAAATTTCATTTAATTTAAATCATTTTGTCACATGTAATCTTCTCAAAAGTTTGTTTGAGAATTCTAATATCTGTCTTTTTCCTCTCTGATATATTTTTGGGGCAGATGGGCTGCTGATAATAACAACCACGTGTCAAAGTAATTCTGACCTAATCTGAGATAAAGTTTTATTTATAAAAAACCAAACAGACATGAAAGCCCTTTGAGAGCGGTCTTTTCAAGTGTCATCCGGAGCTCTATCAAAATGTGATGTCACCCGGCCGCTTGATCCCATCCT